TGCGCTCAGGTGATCCTTCTGCCTCAGTCTTCCAAGTAGCTGGAACCACAGGTGTGTGCCATCACACCCAGCTAATTTTTTTATTTATTGTAGAGATGAAGTTTCACCAAGTTGCCCAGACCGGTCTCAAACCCCTGGCCTCAGGCAATCCTCTCGCCTCTGCCCCCCAAAGTGCTGGGATTACAGGCTGAGGCGCCGATCCTGGCCCCTCTTTCTTCAAAATTCCATTTAGAGGTTCAGACCCCCTTGATTCTCCATTTTCTGCCCTTTCCAAGTCCTCTCGTTTCCTCTGCAAATTGCAGTCTGCACCTCTTGGGCTGCCCACCATCAACAGTCCCCTCCTGTGCCCTCTTCAAAGCTGACTTCACAAAGTCACCCGTGGGCAGTAGGGATTGGCTTACATTTGGTGAGATGGAGGGAGAGCACAGTAGACATTCCTCAGAGGGATTAAAGTAAGAAGGCCAGGGAGCTGGTGGGCAGGAGGGGCGGGAGCAGGCAACCAGTAGGCAGAGTTCCCCTCCAGGAGTTAGTGAGGGGCGGATCCAATGAGGACTAGAAGAGGTTACCTTCTGGACAGTCAGTCTCAGCAGGCATCACAGGAAAGTATCTCCATCTTGCCATCAAAGAGCCCCGGGGGACTCCTCCCAGGCTCCCAGCGCCTTCATCTTTGGGACAGGTGTGATAATACAACCTCAGGGGAGGGCTGTAGCTGTTTATCATCAGTCTGGGAATCATTGCTTGAAGTTAGAATGGGCCCCTGGAAAACAAGAGCATCTCTACACAGCAACTGCAGGAGGTTACCAGCCAGTGCTCTGTTCCCCTTTTTCTCAGAGTTCTTAAGGCTGTCACTGAGGACAGCCGCAGCCCTAGGGGGCCAAGATACTCTGACTGCAGGGACAACTGAGGGCTCCTGCCTACGATTGGGCGGGCAGCATCACTAGAGGTAGGAGTGGCCCCCTCCAAAGTGACAGTCGCTGTGAAGGGGAAGATGACTGCACGAGTTCCAGGTGGCAAATCAGGAGCCAAGTTCAGAAGGGTGTGGCCCCTTGCAAGTCACTCCTGTGAGCAGGGTGTCCACGTGCACAGCAAGAGAATGGGAAAGTTCTCCCTCCACCTGTCTCGGATCAATGGCATTACTGAGGTCTTGCTACCTGCCAGGCACCACATTGCTTACACGTGCAACTCCTGTGATCCTGTCAATGAGTACACTCTCATGTAATCAATGAGTCCATGAGTGTATTGCGTATAATCATCTCCACTTTAAAAAAATTAATTAATTAATTTTGGTGCATGCCTGTAGTTCCAGCTACTTGGAAGGCTGAGGTCATCTCCACGTTTCTTTTCTTTTTTTTTGAGTTGGAGTCTCACTCTGTTGCCTAGACTGGAGTGCAGTGGCACACTCAAAGCCACCGCAGTCTTGACCTTCTGGGTTCAGGCGATCCTTCTGCCTCAGCCTTCCAAGTAGTTGGAACTACA